CACACACACACACACACACACACACACACACACACACACACACACACACACACACCTCTCCAGTGCGATCGACAGCTGATTCTCTGGCTTGTCAAACAACATCTGAGCATCGTCGTGGTCCAGAATGTCAGTCATCTTGAAATCGATGCGCGTGATCTTGTCTCCCGCTCTCACGCCAGCACTCTGCGCCGTGCTGCCTGGCGTCACCTGGTGGACAACACGCGAAGCCTGTTAGGGGAGCGTAACGAAGGGAGAGAGAGAGAGGAGCGGAGGGAGACAACGAAAGGCAGAGGAGGAGGAGGAGGAGAGAGGGAGAGGGGGAGGAGAGAGGGAGAGGGGGAGGAGGAGAGAGGGATAGAGAGAGAGATATGATATGAGTGAGAAGATGAGGAAGAGAAGGAAGTGGAGAAGGAGGAGGGCGAGGGGAGAAAATGAGGGAGAGAGGGGAAAAGGAAGACCGGAAAGTGGGACAAGACGAAGAGGAGAAAAAAGATAACCTTTTCTCCTTTCTCTTCCTCTTGTCTTACCCAAACTCCTCCCCCCCCCTTTCTACGTAACGCATCCTCCACCTCACATATACTTTGTATTCGTCTTTCTTTATCACGAACCCCTCCTCTTCTCCATCTTTCTTCTGGATCTTCTCGCTTCTTTTTTTCCCTTTCATTCATTACTTTCCTCTCTATCGCCCACTCTCCTCCCTCATCCCCATACCATTCCCTCCATCTTCATCCTTCTTCCTCCCGTCTGCTTCCTTTTTCCTTTCACCGCATCTTCTTTCCATATCCTTCCCTTCATCACCCCTTCCTCCCTCTCCCCCTACACTTCCCTCCCTCTCTACCCCTCCCTCAGCTCACCCTACTCTTCCTTCCATCACCACCCCTCCCTCACCTCCCCCTACCTCTCGCTCCACCTCCAACCCTCCCTCACCTCCCACTACACTTTCCCCATCGCTACCCCTCCCTCACCCCCATACACTTCCCTCCACCACCACCTCCCCGTCCCCCCTACAGCTCTCACATACCTTTGATACTTGCAGTGGGCATCCCGGCTGGTCTTTGCCTCCGATGATGGTGATTCCCCACGCAGTCTCCGGTCTCGGCCGCATCAGTCTCACGTTGATGATAGGCATGGCTTCACTAAACTGGCTTCTTCTTCTCTGTGAAAGGATGAGGAGGAGGAGGAGGCTGAGGAGGCTGAGTGAGAGGGATGCTTTCGGAGCTGGATCGGAAACACCCAGTCTGTGTGTGTCTGAGAGTATGAGCAAGTGTGTGCTTATGAGTGTGTCAGCTAGGGTACATTCCACAAGGAGCAGATGCTCCGTAGACTGACACCGAGACCCCACACGACCGCTCGCAGAGACGCCGAGTCAACTGTCAGCGTGCCAGTCTGTCGCGAACCTCGATCCTAGCGGACGGCACCAGCCCCGTTTGTCTGTGTCAGCACCGCAGAAGTCGTTGCGCCGCTTGAAAACAGCTGGGAACGGGGTGAGTTAGGGGGGGGGTGAGGTTGAACAGCTTCTCAACAGCAAACAGCACGTATTTGGAGTGTGTCTCACACAAGCTGGCAATGCTAACCGCGATGCGTGGGTGGGGTGTATGGTGGGTGGGGTGGGGTGAGGGGTGCAGAGTTGAGGGTGTAGGGTGGGGTGAGGGGTGCAAGAGTGTGGGTTGATGCGTGGTGGGAGTCGGAGTATAGCATTGGGCCGGGTGGAAGAGATGGGGCGAGGAGAAGAGGTAGTGGAGGAGGAGGAGAAGAGGAGGAGAGAGAAGGAGGGGTGTTGTTCTTTTACACACTGAGTCTGACACACTGCACACACACCATACAACACAATCACACACACACAGCACACAACACAACGACACACACACGACATTCACGCACGCATCGGCACGCCACACACGCCCACACAGCACACACACACACACGACACATCACACACACTACACCGTACGCACGCACGCACCGACGCACAGCACAGCACACAACACAGACGAGAAAGAGAGGGGAGAGAGAGAAACCACAACAGAGAGAAGAGAGAAAGAAAAAGAGAGAGCAGAGAGAGAGAGAGAGGAGCAGAGAGAGAGAGAGAGAAGAGTCGCAGAGAGAGAAGAGAGAGAGGACCGCAGCAGCAGGGGGCGGGAGTGAGTAATGCAGCTCCGTATTTCACATCATCTGTCTGTAAGAAGACACCGGTAGCAGCAGCAGAAGAAGCAGCAGAAGCACCGCTGCTATTTCGGGAATATTTATCTCTATTTATGGATATGGCGTTACACCGCAGAGTCGAATGCGCGCCCCCTAGCGGTAGCGGAGTCCGAGCCACGATCCGCACATGTACGGTATACTGCATGGTGCTGCCATTCACACTGATGCGGTGCGAAATAACATAATTATGTCATCACATTTGCAGGGGTTGATCCTAGTGGGATCATAATAAAATGATGGTGAATAAAAACGAAATGTATTTACTACGGTACCATTGCTAACATTGCTGTTCACGTGCGCTAGGTTGTGGAGTAATTCGCACATATATTGACATCCCCGCACATTTCACGTTTGGATGTAAACAATAAAGAATCACTGGTAGTTCACAAATGATCAGTATACTGTTTTAAAATAATATTAAGAAGATTTAGGTAATCAAGCATGTTGAATTATACAGCAAATAATAATAATTGTCTCAAGTTGACACACATAAGTCACTGTAGCTGCAAAGCAGGTCGTATTACTTACTAGTCATGCAAACAGCAGTACAGCCTCGTTGCACTACACAGGTTTAACAGTGTCATATTGTTTTTAACGTTTGGAAAAACTATAAACATGTTATACAGGGTGGATCTTAATAAAGGCTTCCCTACGTTATGACCAAACGTGGTTTACGTAAAACACCTCTCCGTGATGTGCTTTATCATTTGCATAGCTTCTTGTGTCCCAATATTCTATACACCATCTAGCACATCAGGCAGAATGTTGGCATTAAGATGAATGTCATCTAAATATCGGATTGGTAATCAATGTTGGCTTTTCAAAATCCCAAAGCAGCACGTACAACAACACACCTAGTCCAAATATGAAGTTTATTATATCGTTGCTCTGCTGCAGTTCGTGGGTTCGCGTAAGGTATTGTCAAGCAAGCATTTATGAACTAGCCACCGTCTCCTAATAGCCACCCATCTCCTACAGCACCATTCTCAAAGATTGTGGTGAGAGCAGTTATTTAAAATATACACGGCAACTGTAAAAGAGGCGAAAGAATAGGAATATTTCCGCAGAGGAAATTGACTTCATAATTTATGAAGTGGGACGGAGAAAGAGGACTGTTTGGAAGTTTTGCTGGCAACTGGCAGCTGTAGTTAATAAAAAGACATGGCAAGCTGTGACTAAAGCAGTCAATGCCGTATCCAGCAAGCCACAAACTCAAGATGATGTGAGTGTATGGGGGTGTGTGCGTGTGAGGTGCTGTGAGTGTAGGTGAGGTGAGGTGAGGAGGGGTGTGTGTGTCTGTCAGGAAAAACTCAACCCTATCTTTGCCTGATTTGGCTAGTTCCTTAGATGTTTACTCTACTTAACCTTTTTATTTGCTCTTGCCATGAAATCAATTAACCGACCCTACGGAGCGTTGTTTTTCTCTGCCCTATATGTCCCAAACATTATCATTAACTTTATCATTCAAGATGTATGATCCACACGGTAAATTACCAGTGTGGGTGTGTGTAAGCGCGTGCGCGTGTATGATGATTCAATCGCCTGTTTGTGCGTACGACTACGAACGTAGGTACATTTGCTTAGATGACATAGACATAGAGTAAACATGCAGAGTTTGTGTACATTCAATTGCTGTAGTGTAGGTCAGTCAACAGTTTAAAAAAAGTCCAGAGAGTGAGGACACCAGGGAGGGCTGTGATAATTCTGACAGCTCATTAGTAGTCACTGAATAAGTTAACTGTATTACTGTAAATAAACCATTGTAAAAATGTCAAATTTCAATCTTTTATTTTTTTTTTAACTGCAGTATTCGGGGAATGATGCGGGCCTGTAAAATCCGCGTAAAATTCGTAGCAGCTAGATGATCTATCGCGCCTCGGGCAATTGGGCCGTTTAAAAGCTATAATAATTAAATGATAGTAATTATGAACAAATCATATTGACTACTACGTGTCAATATAACTTTTATAGCGTAATAATGCCAGGCAAATACCACTCAAGTATTCCTCTACGTGCAATCACACCCAACACGCTTAGCTGTGCACTGCAGGTTATAGGTGTTACGGACACTGTATATATCATGAATATTAAAACATGTCAATACATACGTGCGCGCGGGTGTGTGCGTGTGCACGTGCGTGGTGTGTTAGTGTATGTGTGTGTGTGTGTGTGCGTGTGTGTGTGTGTGTGTGCGTGTGTGTGTGTGTGTGTTGTGTGCGTGTGCCACAGTGCGTGTGTGTTAGTGTAATGTGTGTGTGTGTGTGTCGTGCATGGAGATGATAGTGTGTGTGTGTGTGTGTGTGTGTGTGTGTGTGTGCGTGTGCACTGCGTGGTGTGTTAGGTATGTGTTGGGTGTGTGTGTTTTTTTGGTTTTTTTGGTGTTGTGTGTGTGTGTGTGTGAAGATGTGTGTGTGTGTGTGGTGTGTGTGTAATTGTGTGAGCTGTGCGTGTCGTGTGCGTGTGCTGCGTGTGTGCGTGCGTGCGTTGTGTGTGTGTGTGTGTGGACTGTGTGTATACGTTTCGGTTCAGCGTGCGTGGATGGCGGCCGCCCTATAAGACGGAAGTCCGATAGAAACGCGAAGGTCCGATAGAACCGAAATATTGAAGAAGGGAGCCTATAGACCGAAGCCGATAGACCGAAGGTCCGATTAGACCGGAAGGTCCGAAATAGAGCCGAATATTTCATAAAATCATGGTAAAAAATACTTTACTTAATTTGTGAACAAACACGCACACGCACACCAAACGCACACGCACACGCCACGTCCACTGTTGTGTGACCGTGTACGCGCACACGTACACGCAACCCCGCACACATACGCACACGATGCAGGTACGCACGCACACACACGACGCACACCACGGCACACCACACACACAGTCACACAAACACAACAGCACACACACACACACACACACACACACACACACCCACAACACACACACACACACACATACACATACACACACACACACACACACGCACACCACACCACACAGACATCACACACACACACATACACACACACAGCACACCACACACACGACAGCAAGCCACACAACACACACACACACACCACACACATGGCCCACATCCACACACACAACGCCACGCACACGCACACGCACACGCACAAACACACCACGTACACACCACACACACAGCACACTACACCACACAACAGCACACACACACACACACACACACACGCGCGCGGCAGCGCGTTTATGGCGCTATGCCTTATTCAGGCAGGGGCGTTTTATTGTTTTACTGCATGCACACACCGGTAATTTGAATTTATTTCCTTCGTAAATATAATTGATCTAAAGACAGGCCTGTGAGTTCGGCAAAAAATTCGGACAAAAACATTTCTTTTGAACGAAGTTTTTGTATTACTGCTGGCGACGTTCGCACGGTCGGCGCACCTGGGGTAGATTCATCAAGCTGCGTACCAAAATATGTGCGTGTTCATGGTTCATGTGTGTGGTGAGAGAGAGAGAGAGAGAGATGAGAGAGAGAGAGAGAGAGAGAAGAGAAGTGAGAGAGAGAGGTGTGTGTGTGTGTGTGTGAGAGAGAGAGAGAGAGAGAGAGAGAGAGAGAGAGAGAGAGAGGTGTGTGGGTGTGTGTGTGGTGTGTGTGTGTGTGTGTGTGTGCGTGTGCGTGTTCATGTGTGTGTGTGAAAAGAGAGAGAGAGAAGAGAGGGAGGGAAGGGAGAGAGAGAAGGAGAGAGAGAGAGAGAGAGAGGTGTGTGTGTGTGGTGTGTGTGTTGTGTGTGTTGTGTGGTGTGAGTGTGTGTGTGGTTGTGTGTGTGAGAGAGGGAGGTGTGTGTGTGTGTGTGTGGCGTATGTGTGTGTGTGTGTATGTGTGTGTGTGTACGTTTGGTGTGCGCGTGCGTGCGTGCGTGCGTGCGTGGCGTGCGTGCGCGCGCGTGTGTGTGTGTGTGGAACGGTAGCCAGCTGGCGTATTCCGAAAATGCATTCTTTACACCGTTGAACACATACGGCTTTCGGTCCTAATCGGACTTCGTCTATCGACGGCTTCGGTCTATCGACCTTCGGTCTATGAGGGCTGTAAAGATGTGTGGACG